CCAGATGCTGATCCTGTCCCCCCACTCCCCTCCACCTCCCATGCTGCTGCCACCCCTGGGGTTGTCTCATTCCCCTTGCTGGTGGACAACCCTCAGGAAGCAGCCTTCATGTTCCCCTGTCCCAACCCCCAGGGGCTTCTATTTTCCCTCCAAGGTCCCCTATTGAACCAGGGTCTGAGGTGGGCTGCGTGGCACCGGTACATTGGGTGCCATGCTGGGGTTTGCCCCCTTCCTGCCCATCTCGGTAGGCCACGGGGCTGTGACAGAGGCCCCATTGGAGGATGGCCAGGGGCCAGTGACCCTGCCTCCGATAGGCTGAGAGGGAAGCTGCGGGAATTTCTCCAGGACGCCCGTGGGTCCCAGAACAAGGTTCAGCTCTCCAACGATGGGGGGACTTCTATCAAATCCTCCGGGCCATGAGGGCCTTACCGGGGGAGGGTAAAGGGACCAGGAGGCTGGCCGCTTCTGTGACTCTATGCTTACCTATGGGGTTGGTCACGGTTTGCTGCATGACCCAATGGGGGCTGCGAGCATCCCTGCAAGCGAGGATCCGCCCCGCTCCAACCCTCCATATGGCACCCATCACCTTTGCTACACTAAACACCCAGGACTGCAGGCTGGGTCTCTGCAGGTGCCAGGTGCTCTCCTTCCTTTGGGAGGGGGGTACTCTGTGGTTTTCCTGCAGGAGACCCATACAGATCCAGCCACTGAAGCAACTTGGTGGCTAGAGTGGGGGGACAGGGTCTATTTTAGCCACCTCACAGCTCGTACAGCTGGAGTGGCTACCCTATTCTCCCCTTACCCACGGCCCAAGGTGCTGGGGGTCGCCGAGGCTGTGCTGGGCTGCCTGCTGCACCTCCAGGTCTGCATGGAGGGGCTGGTGATCAATCTAGTCAACGTTTATGCACTGACATTGGGCCCGGAGCGCCTGCATTTTTTTCAGCAGGCATCCGCCTTCCTCGGCTCCTTGGATCCTCATGAGTGCCTGGTCCTGGGCAGGGACTTTAACACCACCCTCAAGAAGCGGGACCACTTGGCGACCGAGCACTGCCCAGCCACCATGGACGTCATCCAGGAGATTTTCGACCATCACTCCCTGGTGGACGTCTGGCGTGACCACTACCAGGACAAGGTGTCAATGTTCACCTTTCTCTGGGTGGAGGCCCATCAGTCACGCCACTTCTGGTTGGACCGCATTTATTTATCACGCTGTCACCTTTCATGGGCCCAATCCTCCAGCATCCGGCCAGCCATGTTCTCGAATCACAATCTGGCGACCATAACGGCCTCTCTCAGTGCAGAGAGGCCAGGGCTGGCCTATTGGCACTTTAATAACAGATTGTTGGAGGATGTGGGCTTCATGGCATCCTTCCAGGAGTTCTGGCTGGCCAGGCGAGGGCAGATACATGCCTTTCCTTTGGCACGGCGGTGGAGGGACTTGGGAAAGGTGCACGCCTGGCTCTTCTGCCATGACTACACCCAGGGCGCCAGCCGGCAGAGGGATGTGGCGATAGAGCAGTTGGAATGGGAGGTCTTAGAGCTGGAGAAGCATCTGGCTGCCAGCCCTGAGGATCCATCCCTCTGTGGAGCATGACGGGAGAAGCGGGAGGAGCTCTGGGCTGTCGAGGACCATCGAGCCAGGGGTGCCTTTGTTCAATCCCGCATCCACCTCCTTCGAGAGACGGACTGTGGCTCCTGCTTCTTCTAAGCCCTGGAGAAAAAGAGGGGGGCTAGGAAGCACATCACCTGCCTTCTGACAGGGGACGATACCAGGGCCATCCTTAGGCATACGCAGCTGCATAGGGCACCATGAAATTTGGGGCACCAAATTGCCCCAAATTTCATGGTGCCCTAGGCAGCTGCATGCTGCATACGCAGCAGCACCAGTCCCAGTGACTAGCCCTATCCCACTGCAAGAGGCAGGGCCGTCCCTAGGGGGATGGGGGACCCTGGACAACTCCCTCCGACCCACCTCTTACCCTTCCCTCCTGCTCCGCCCCAGCCCACCCCCATTCTGCCTCTTCCCCCAGCAACCCTGCATTCACCGGCAGCAGCAGGAAGCAGAGCAGCCCAGCACCATCCTGCTCTACTCAGCCAGCTCCCAGCCATGACACTCCGCTTCCTGCCACCAGTGAGTGCGGGAAAAGGATCGCCCTACACAGTCACCAGCGGCGGGAAGCAGAGCGACACAGCCCCAGCCCTTTCCGCTTCCCTTTCCTCGGCCCCAGGGATGTCACTGGGGGTGGGAGGGTTGGGGAAAGGTTCCCCCCACCAAAACTCACTGGCGGCAGGAAGCAGCGAGCCATGGCTGGGAACTGGTGGAGTAGAGCCCAGCTGCTCGGGTTCCCGCCGCTGCCAGTGAGTGCAGGGGGGATCCCTTCCCTCAAGCCCCCTCCCCTGAGTGACATGGCTTGGGGTCAGGGCAAGGGAAGTGGAGCAGGCTGCTCCCAGCCCCTGGCTAATCCCCCAGGCCACTCTGGACCTTGATGCCTTCGAGGAGCAGTGGGTGCTGTCCAGGGTTCTCTTCTTGGTGTCCCCAGCTGGTTCCCTTCATTTAGCCCTGTGACCTCACTCCAATCCCTGTTATATCTTTAGTTGTCCCCCATAATTAATTGAGATCCTGGACCTTGTGGATCCTCCCCTTAGACTGGGGGAGGTCCTTTAGCAGGATCCCAACAGGATCACTCTCCTGTAGCCATCTGTCCTGACCCTGTCACAGAATGTAATTCCTGTAACCACATGAATTTTGTTGCATATTCCTAATTTTTATGTCAAAGAGAACTTAAACACTGATTTCCTTATGCTGGATAAAGCTTGGATTAAACAGGTGGGGCATTCTGTGAGGCCTAAGAGTTGGCCTCTCAGACCACTAGAAGAAACAGATTCCCCCAATGATGACCTTCTACCTCCCCTAAGGGGACACAGTACAGATTAAGTGCATCAGCAGCAGGAATAAGTCAGCTCACTTCAAATCTCCCAAGTTTGGGGTTTTGGTCTCTCCATTCTCTAGCTAGGATTTTTCCTGTCACGTCTCCCCTACCAACCCTTCAACCTCCCCACTCCTCCCAGCACCACTGCACACCCCAGTGAGCTATCTGAATCTCTCCCAAGGAGTGGAGATCCTGCCATTCTCCCTGGTATCTCCTGTCTGCATTCAGAAGCTCAGAGCAGGATGATGAGGCAGCAGAAACAGGAGAGGAAGAGAGGGGCCTATTACCAGGCTGTAGCTCACTCTTCTTGGTATCAGAAGTATCATTCTCTTTTAAACAGATCCTGCTCACTACTGCTGACAGCTCATCTGGAGAAGGCAGAAGGAGTAAGAAGGAGATGGAGGCAGTGCTTCCTACTGTCTCCCAATGATGGTGTAGTCTTCACCCTTCTCCTCTCAAAAGTAAGATAGCCATGTGAGTTTTGTGCCCAAAGCTGCATGAGATACTATCATGGTAATCAGGAGATCTTGAGTCATCTTACAAGAATCATCATCATCCACATGAACAAGGAAATCATCCAGATCAATAAGACTTAGCAGCTCCAGCACTAGGTTCCAGAAAAATACAATAAACTCAAGCAAAGAGGCAAACATGCAGTGGGGTGGTGTAACAGAATACTGGGCTTTGAGACATACACATATGCCCCAGGCAGCCTATTATGGCCCTTTAACATTGGGAGATGTAGTTATTGGTCACAAGTCTGCTCCTAGTCACGTGCTTTGCAGACATCACATATCAGGCATCTTACAAGAGTAGCAGACAGGTGAGACCCAGGGTCAGGGAAGGTGCTCATTACAACTGCCATGCAGGAGACGTGATCTGGCTGTGAATATGCCTCACCTGTGGAAGGCTATTCAAGACCCTGAGGGGTAGTAAATTGGTGTTCAATCATTGTTTCTAGGTGAATAAAGCAAATCTTTGAGCAATGCAACTGGGCCATTGTCAGGATTTCACTTTCCTGAGCTGGTGCATTCAGTTCCCCACTCCCCTTTGTCATGCATGTTTCCCATTACAGCATTATTTACTTTTAAGAAGGACCAAAAGAACAATTAATGACTAGAAATATGTATGAGATGATATTGTATCTTCTTTATTAGGCACAGGCAATTTATATTAGGAAAAACTTTTTCACTAGGAGGGTGGTGAAACACTGGAATGCGTTGCCTAGGGAGGTGGTGGAATCTCCTTCCTTAGAAGTTTTTAAGGTCAGGCTTGACAAAGCCCTGGCTGGGATGATTTAATTGGTGATGGGTCCTGCTTTTGAGCAGGGGGTTGGACTAGATGACCTCCTGAGGTCCCTTCCAACCCTGATATTCTATGATTCTATATCACTCACAGTTTATTAGTGTGTTCAGAATGTAATGAGTATGTACAGAAGCAAAGTTAAATGGTTTAGTACAGATTATGCAATAAGGCACTTTTTTTTTAAATGAGACTATTTATTGCTCCTCAGTACATATTGTATTTGAAGAAAATGCAACAACTGATAATAATGCTGAAGTCTTGTTAACTCAAGGGTCCTCTACCCATATAGTCTGGGTTGCACTGATAGCTTCAGACTAAAGGCAGACGAGATGCACTTCACCAGAAGGATCAGATGCAAAGGAGGGGTTGGGGGAAAGGTGTAACTAAAACACATTTGCATCTTTTAACAAAATAAACATTCACAGATATTACAGTGAATTCAGACATTCACAATCTTATTTCTTTTAACATAAATCACTAAGAATTATGTATCTAACACTGTAAAAATCATTGCATTTTAACTCTTATCAAAAACAAAGGAGTTGAAGTTACATAAATATAGCTACTTGTTATTCCATTTACAGATCCAACACATTAGTTGTTCATTAAACTATTAATCTGATTATACTTTTTTAGTAAAAAGATAATATAAATCAGAAAAACAAACATAAGAATAGTGAACAGTTTAATTTGCATTTATTAGAAACAAAACTCATTTTCAATTTCATATATTCTATTCAACAAATGCAGTTTCATTTTAATTTTTTTAAATTGTAAAACATAGCAAGATCAGTATCTCTTCACTGGAGGTTATGTAATATTTTGTAATAAACAAAAAACCTCACTTACTCGAGTGAGGATTTACCACTCCGCATCTCCAATGGCTTTTGCGAACACATAGTCTTTACCCCCAAAGCACATTACTCCATCTTTCAAATAGAACTTCCATTTGTTCTTACTTCGATGAATCTGATAAAAAAGAAATGAGAATCAGTGCCCCCAAAAGTGTGTTACTAGAACATCTTCAGAAACTAACTGGTTTCTAAGAATTAAACAAAGCTGGTAGGGGGGTAGGGCTGAAGGATTGAGGTTAACCTTTGTTAGCACTGAATACATAAAAAACTGCTTCTCTGAGCAGAGCTCAGATATGGAGTACTGTGAAAGTCTGACATGCCGGAGAAAAGATTAAGAGACACATTTTCAGATATCGACACCTAGATTGCATGAGTACCCAGTCATGAAAATGAGCACCATGTATAGTTGTTCATTAGCCCGTTCGTTTATAAACCGACCTCCCAAGATGGATAGGTAAAAATAGTAAAAACAGTATGACCTTTTCATAAGCCGACCCTATATTTCAGGGGTTGGCAAACTTTGGCTCCCGGCCCGTCAGGGTAAGCCGCTGGCAGGTCGGGACATTTTGTTTACCTGGAGCATTCACAGGCACGGAGTCCCTCAACTCCCAGTGGCCACTGAGGGGCTCCATGCCTGCAGACGCTCCAGGTAAAGAAAACGACAATGTATTAGATATTCAATTCAATGATTTCATAGAGTTTAAAATCATCAAATTTTGGTGTACACCTGTTTAGGGATAGCTCAGTGGTTTGCGTATTGGCCTGCTAAACCCAGGGTTGTGAGTTCAATCCTTGAGGGGGCCATTTAGGGTTCTGGGGCAAAAATTGGGGATTGGTCCTGCTTTGAGCAGGGGGTTGGACTAGATGACCTCCTGAGGTCCCTTCCAACGCTGATATTCTATGATTCTATAATAAGCTGACCCCCGTTCTTTGATGCGTCACTTTTTTACCAAAAATATTCGGCTTATGCACGAGTATGTACGGTACTTGTGGGTGCAGCTAGCCATGTCTGTGTATTCCATTTTTGTATTTTGCATGCAGTACTGGACATTGTAGGATAGTATGACAAGACCAAAATAATACTGCAACCAAAAATATGGCTAAAAAGCACAATGTTCCACACAAAGCAGGTACGAATGTACTCATAATTTTACACCTACACATATTTGGTTTCACACTGTAGACCTATAAAAAAAGTTCTGTGCAATACAAAATCTTTGTAGTTCATCTTGAAAGGCCCGGAATTAAATGGTTTTATAGATTTCTCAGATTTGCAGCTTGATTTGGTTTTCAAGCCCAGGAAACAAAGAGAATGCCTCCTGATTTTCTGGTAATGATATTTGTGATAAAAGTTTTTTTTTTCTTCAAAGAGCTGGAACATGTTAGAATGACAGTCATCCCACTTCTATCCTCCCACTATGTTTAATAGCCCGAAAGATAATTAGTAACAGAATTACAAGATAATTATATTCTGCTTTTTGGCCAAAGAGACCATGGTTTCAATCACTCCTCCCTCCATTAGAAAAGTTTTCAGTAAAACTCGTCTGTTTGGGAAAAGTAACCAATATACCAGCTAGCCAACATATTATTTCATAGCATTAAACAAACAAAAAAACAAAAAAAAGCAATAAAGACTCAGACTTTCATGCCAATCCATAGCTCTCAAATTCTAATCACATCTAATCGAAGGGTTATGAAATCCCTTCGCGGCAACTCTGGTGTCAAGCTCCATATCGATATAAATATATTTCAGACCAAAATTTTCCATTCATCCATACAAAATCTTAATTTTAGAGAGGAATGTTTCAAAAGTCCAGCACTTACAGTATTATTAAGTATCTTAGGGAGAAATATCATAGCATTACAATACAAATAATGTAGTTCAGATTCAGATGAGCTTTCTATATGCAAACTCTGACCACCTAAATTTTCCAGAGGTGACTAGTGATTTTGGTGCCCAACTTGTCACACCTTAAATGGCCTGATTTTCCAAGATCAAGTGCTCATCGCTTTCTAAATCTGAGATTCCTTTAAGACATTTCAAGTTGGGCACCTAAAATCAGTAATCACTTTGGAAAATGTAGGCTCTATTTCCAAAAGCCACATATTTGACAAAAATAAAATTTGTTGAGGCTGAAACTTTCCATGATTTCAAGATAAGATGTAATTCTAACAAAGTCTGGTTTTCCAGTTTGAGTTTCAGGTACACAAAACCAAAAAAAACCTGAGTTCCAAAGGTTTTGTTTGACCTCTAATAGCTCAGAAAGAACTTTATTTTGAACACTAACACAGGACAGGCCATTTGTCTTCATTAAGAACTAATTGCTTTGCTTATTTTAAAAGATGGATTTGTGGTAAACGTTTTTAAAATCCTTTTAGGAATATTTTACTACCAGGTAAGGAAGCATACACTTCCCTTCTTATTGCTCACTCAAAGGCCCCAATCCATACTTAGCTTTTCTCATGAGTAGTTTTATTGAAGTCACTGGGATTATTAATCTCACTAAATTTAAGGATGTGCATGTGTTTGCAGGACTGGGACCCATTACACTCTGATGCGCTGCAGAACAGTAATCCCAAACCACAAAAAACAACGCAAGACCATCACCACACCACAAAGCAGAACATACAGGTAAGTTGTCAGTGAAAACTTGTAATAACCAAGGACAAGTTAGGTCAGCAACAATCTGAACAAAAACCATAACAGTCCAAACAGCAGGTATGTAGCAGCCTGCCCTGAGTAGCTGCACACCCCCAAGGCTACACGTTCGCACACACGCATCCTTAAATAGGAACAGCAGCACTGAGTTCAGGGAGCAAGAAATAAAACAGGAACAGAAAGCAGGAAGGCAACACACACACACGACTTTATTTTGCACTTTATGATGTTAGATTTGAAATCCTTCTCCTTTGACAGCCCTTGTAAGAAGTTTCTCCTTTTACAGGAAAACTGTAGATGAATTTCTACACAATAGTGCAAATAAGTTTACATTCTTTTGTTTTTTGTTTGCATTTCAACGAACAGATGATAAAATTATTTAAAATATTGATGAAAGAACTGATATTCTCCACACACCGATCCCCAAAAATAATTCTTACTAAAATTACCGTTTAAACTTTCTGGAATATTTAAGGACAAAACAGGGCTATATACTGTACCTTGTCATACTGACAAACTATAACGTTATCTGTATCAAACAAGTCTGGTGTGTCCTGCTCACTGACATCATCACCGGAATTTAAAGGGTCCTGGAGAGTAAAGGTCACCACATTTAAACACCATTACTTATTGTCTTTTTTTAAATTCTAATATATTTGACGTAACACAAGACATTATGCACAAGACATTTCTTCACACTGATATTCCCAAAAAATGACTAAGATTTATAATTACAAGTAACACTCAAAGCTGACAAAGTTAACTCCTCTTTCTCTCCCAGAAATTGGAATGCTAAACCAACTTCTATTTGTCGGGAGGCAGGACTCTCTGAAAGGTGATTCAAGGAGAAAAGTCATATAATACATATAGTTGTTCTGTGACTAAGCATTCCTCAGCTGTCCTCTGTCTCCTGGGAAACAGACAACCTGCAGCATGCACTGCCTGATTCCCCCTTCCAATCTTGTTTAGTGTTTTAGAAGCAATGGAAACTCGGACTCATAGATTATAAGGCCAGAAGGGACTATTGTGATTATCCAGTGCAGTGGTTCTCAAACTTTTGTTCTGGTGACCTCTTTCACACAGCAAGCCTCTGAGTGCAACCCCCCCTTATACATATGTTAAAAGTGTTTTTAATTTACCACCATTATAAATGCTGGAGGCAAAGCATGGTTTGGAGTGGAGACTGACAGATTGTGACACCCCATGTAATAACCTCATAACCCCCTCAGGGGTCCTGACCCCCAGTTTGAGAACCCCTGATCTAATGTGGCATCCTGTGTAACGCAGGCCATAGAACTTGGCTGAATTAATTCCTGTTTGAATTTGAGCATTTCTTTTTTAAACATCCAGTCTTGATCTAAAGATTTTGAGTGATGGAGAATCCACTACAGCCCTTGTTAAATTAAATGATTAATTACCCTCACTGTTAATTCCAGTCTGAATTTGTCTAGATTTAATCTCCAGCCGTTGGATCTTGTTATAGCCTCGTATACTAGATCGAAAGGCTATTATCAAATTTTGTTTCCCACATAAGTACTTACAGACTGTGATCAAGTCATCCCTTAACCTTTTCTTGGTTAAGCTAAACAGATTGAGCTCCAGGAGTCTATTACTATAAAGATATGTTTTCCAATTCTTTAATAATTCTCGAGGCTCTTAGCTGAACCCGCTCCAATTTATCAATATACTACTTTAATTGTTGGTATCAGAATACCATAGCAGTCGTCTTAGTGCCAAAAAGAGTTAATATAAACTCTATATTCCCCCATTTATACATCCAAGGATCACATTAGCCCTTTTGGCCCCAGTGTTGCACTGGGAACTTATGTTCAGATGATTATTTACCATGACCTTTAAAAAAGGGAAGAAGGAGGATCCTGGGAACTACAGGCCAGTCAGCCTCACCTCAGTCCCTGGAAAAATCATGGAGCAGGTCCTCAAAGAATCAATCCTGATGCACTTGCATGAGAGGAAAGTGATCAGGAACAGCCAGCATGGATTCACCAAGGGAAGGTCATGCCTGACTAATCTAATCGCCTTTTATGATGAGATTACTGGTTCTGTGGATGAAGGGAAAGCAGTGGATGTATTGTTTCTTGACTTTAGCAAAGCTTTTGACACAGTCTCCCACAGTATTCTTGTCAGCAAGTTAAGGAAGTATGGGCTGGATGAATGCACTATAAGGTGGGTAGAAAGCTGGCTAGATTGTCGGGCTCAACGGGTAGTGATCAATGGCTCCATGTCTAGTTGGCAGCCGGTATCAAGTGGAGTACCCCAAGGGTCGGTCCTGGGGCCGGTTTTGTTCAATATCTTCATAAATGATCTGGAGGATGGTGTGGATTGCACTCTCAGCAAATTTGTGGATGATACTAAACTGGGAGGAGTGGTAGATACGCTGGAGGGGAGGGATAGGATACAGAAGGACCTAGACAAATTGGAGGATTGGGCCAAAAGAAATCCGATGAGGTTCAATAAGGATAAGTGCAGGGTCCTGCACTTAGGACGGAAGAACCCAATGCACAGCTACAGACTAGGGACCGAATGGCTAGGCAGCAGTTTTGCGGAAAAGGACCTAGGGGTGACAGTGGACGAGAAGCTGGATATGAGTCAGCAGTGTGCCCTTGTTGCCAAGAAGGCCAATGGCATTTTGGGATGTATAAGTAGGGGCATAGCGAGCAGATCGAGGGACGTGATCGTCCCCCTCTATTCGACATTGGTGAGGCCTCATCTGGAGTACTGTGTCCAGTTTTGGGCCCCACACTACAAGAAGGATGTGGATAAATTGGAGAGAGTCCAGCGAAGGGCAACAAAAATGATTAGGGGTCTAGAACACATGACTTATGAGGAGAGGCTGAGGGAGCTGGGATTGTTTAGCCTGCAGAAGAGAAGAATGAGGGGGGATTTGATAGCTGCTTTCAACTACCTGAAAGGGGGTTCCAAAGAGGATGGCTCTAGACTGTTCTCAATGGTAGCAGATGACAGAACGAGGAGTAATGGTCTCAAGTTGCAGTGGGGGAGGTTTAGATTGGATATTAGGAAAAACTTTTTCACTAAGAGGGTGGTGAAACACTGGAATGCGTTACCTAGGGAGGTGGTAGAATCTCCTTCCTTAGAGGTTTTTAAGGTCAGGCTTGACAAAGCCCTGGCTGGGATGATTTAACTGGGAATTGGTCCTGCTTCGAGCAGGGGGTTGGACTAGATGACCTTCAGGGGTCCCTTCCAACCCTGATATTCTATGATTCTATGACCCCAAAATATTTTCCCAGAGTCACTGCTTCCCAGGATAGAGGCCCAGGATGAAATCCTGACCCTACTTAAACCAATGGCAAAAGACCCTTTGATTTCAGTGAAGCCGAAATTTCACTTGTAGACTCAAATTTTGGTAATTAAAAACATGTTAATTCATCCAATAAGCAACAGATATCAGAGCAACTCCTCCTATTTTTATGATCTGCCCAAGAAGCTCTCAAGCCACCCCATATCTATTACATTCTGCTCTGAAAACACAGGTTAACCATGTATTCTGCCTCAATCTACCCATGGATATTCTGGATCTAAACAACCAAACATGCAGATAGGCACATTACTCTGGCTTGCTTTAGAATGTTTAAACTAATTACCTCCTCAATTATGTCTATTTCGGGCTCTTCAGTATCACTGCTGCTGTTGGATTCAGCATTTGAAATACTGTCAACTTCTTCATCTTCCTCCTCCTCCTCCAACACTTTCAGATCCTCTGCATCAATAATACCAATAAATTCATTCTCTTCCACATCTCTTGTACTTTCTATTTCCTCCTTAGGAAAAACATCATCAATTCCATCTAGCTGAATGATCCCTTCAATGTCTCTGCAGATATCCTTTTCTGTCCGTATGTCAGATTCCATCAGTACAGTAGGTTCCATCTGACAGGAAATAAGAAGGTTCAATGAGAGCTTACAAGAGGCCCGATTTTTTACAACACCCATTCTTCTCTAGGAGATCTGTTGGGTACTAAAAGACTGAAAAACTTGTCACCTTATTTAGATGTTTAAATGGGAGTAGAGCTCTTTTTAAAAAAAAAAGTCTAGCCCCAATTATGAGTGCTGAGCACTTTTGAAAATTTGGTCATATATACATTTTCCTGAAATGAACCCCATTTCAAATACTTGTTCAATAATATGAAATCCATTTTTCCAGGCATGATTTTTAAATACTGTCTCTGACACGCAAAGCAAATTTCCCTTTTAAAAAAAAAATAGATATTAGAACTGTTCAAAAATCAGAATTTCTGTTCTAAGGGAAATTCTGACATTTGGAAAAAAAATAATTCTGATTCAGAATAAATAAAAGTAACAATGCCAAAAATTTCTTGCAAAATATAATTTCCAAAAATAATCTGGTCAGGTCAATTGAAATGTTTCATTTAGTTAAAATCTCATTGTTTTAATTTGATTTTTTCATATTTTATATAATTTTTAAATTAGGGTTTACTATATTTTAATATCTGATAAAATTTAAAAAGTTGTTAATTAAAGTCATTTTGAAATAAAAACATCAAAATGCTTTGTTTCAATTTTTTTCTAAATAAAGTTTTGTTAAAAACAAAACACTCCGTGGAACATTTCAATTTCAACTAATTGAAAATTTTCTGACAGACAACTTTTCCATTAGAAAATACCATCTGGCGACAACAGATGTATATGTATAGGCAATTCCTTGGTACCAAAGCATCCAGTGCATCAAAAACATTGATGACGTTCAGGAACAAATACCTTAGGGCTTGTCTTCACATACAGAGCTACAGCGGCGCAGCTGCATTGCTGAAGTGCGTTAGTAAAGATGCTACTATGCCAACAGGAGAGCTTCTTCCATCAGCGTAGTTAATCCACCTCCCTGAGAGGCCGTAGCTTATTCCATTGATAGAGCGCTCTCTACACAGAGGGTCAGTATAACTGGGTCACTCAGGGGTGTGGAGAAATACCAATATAGGTCTATAGTGTAGATGTGGCCTTAAGTTTGGTCTACACCAGTGGCTCTCAAGCTTCCAGACTACTGTACCCCTTTCAGGAGTCTGATTTGTTTTGTGTACTCGCAAGTTTCAGCTCACTTAAAAACTACTTGCTTACAAAATCAGACATAAAAATACAAAAAATTGTAACAGCACACTATTACTGAAAAATTGCTTACTTGCTCATTTTTACCATATAATTATAAAATAAATCAATTGGAATATAAATATTGTACTTCCATTTCAGTGTATAGCATATAGAGCAGTACAAACAAGTCATCGTCTGTATGAAATTTTAGTTTGTACTGATTTCGCTAGTCCTTTTTATATAGCCTGTTGTAAAACTAGGCAAATATCTAGTATCCCCTGGAAGACTTCTGCGTACCCCCAGGGGTATGTGTACCTCTGGTTGAAAACCACTGGTCTATAATAGCAACTTACATCAGAAGAACCACATTGCTCAGAGAGGTGAAAAATCCATACCCCTGAGTGACACAGTTATTACTGACCTACCCCTCAGTGTAGACAGAGCTACTGCCTTTCAGGGAGGTGGATTAACTACGCTGATAGGAGAAGGTCTCATTCCAGGTAGCCCTGCCTGCCGTGGAGGGGGGGCAGCTCCCAGAATCGTGACCATGGGGGTGGTGCTGCGCTGCACAGAGCCACCTGCACCAAACAGGAGCTGCCCCAGGTAAGTGCTCTGCACCTCCTGCCTGCCCCAGCCCTGACCACCCTCCCACATCCTAACTCCCCCCCAGACCCTAACCCTAACCCCACCCTAAGCACCCGCTCTATCAAAGTGTTAAACCAAGATTTTCAAAAATAATGAAGCATACTCAATCACATTGCTCACTCAAACTATTATTAATAATTTTTTATAATGAGAGCAAAAAGGGTTTTTGTACTGTTAATAAAATAATTTTTTTAAAAAATATTGTTTATTTCATCTTTATTGCATCATTTTTTAATTTCTATTTTTTGTGTATGTTTTATCATTTACATAATATTAGTACAGTAGTACATGTATATAATTTATATAAATATACATATGTTGGGGGTGCATGCTCAAAAAATTTTTACTAATGGGGTGCACGATCAAAAAAGTTTACAGACCACTGCTATAGAAAAAGTAGTTTTTAATTACATGGTCACATATGCTCATAATGCATATGCACAAAGGCTGAGAATATACAACCTTCATTCTGGCTTTGGAGTCTTGACTTTGCACCCTTAATAATGTTCTTATAACAGTTTTTGTTTTTCTGTGTAATAATTATATGGGTTGTTTATTGAAGGGTTCTGCTGACATGAGCCATGAAACACAAGCTTGGAGTTTTGTCCATTCAGGTTGTGAACTCTTACAATAATGAAGCCTTCAGTGATACCAGAACTGGATTCCAAGGCCAAGATTTTAAGAAACAACTAGTAATTTTCACAGCCTAACATGAAACATCTTAATAGGAGCCTGATCTTCAGAGGACAGGTACTCTGCATTTTCTGAAAAATCAGGACCCTTAAATAGTGACAAGTTGGTCACTCAAAAATTGAGACATTACTCATTTTTGAAAACGCAGTTGCATAGGGCTTATAATCATTAGTACTAAATGACTCTAAGAGCTTAATAAGGGGGGCTCCAAGCCTTCAATCATCTAGAATCATTTAGGATGTCCCACAGAATTCAACACCGTAATAAAGATTAAAAACCCACACACTTCTAAGATACCACATTGAAATATTATTGCATTATTCTGTACTCCTGGGATCCTTCTTTTTGACCATTCTTCTAAACCTTCCAGACCACATCAGTTTGTTTCAAAACCAGGTTCCATCTAGAGCTGGCTGAATAATGCAGAATGTGCTCCATTAGTCCTCATTCATATTTTTAAATGAATTTACCTTGACCACATTTGTGCACTCTGAATATTTTAGTGGTTGGGGTTTTCCTGGCAACAGTTGTTGCCAAATGCAAATTTCAAATTTGCACACAGGAGCATTCTAACCAGGAAAGCCTCTGCTTTCATCTGATCAAGGAATAAAACCAACACTACATGGCTTACATGATCAAATCACAACTAAGCAGCTTGAATTTAAAATATTTGTAATAAATCTATGGAGTACACAATTTAGACAGTTCAAACAAATAAATTCAAGAAAACCACAATCTGCTTGTGGACATTCCATAAATTATAAAAGAGGCTCACTCATGAAATCAATTATCTAATACAAATTATTTGCACAGGATTAGTTGAATAATGATTGTTTTTAATTGAGGGAAATACACTTTTAAATTTTCACTCACATACAATATAATTTGTGGATTTTGAATGTGAGTACATAGGCTGACAGGAACTCCTCCTCATATGCTAAGCAAATTGTATTCAAAAGGCAATTTGCCCACCATGGCTTGGATCTGACCTATGATTTCAAGGTCACAATGATATGGCAGTTTTTAAAAAGGTCACTGGTATGAACATTCCCATTTAACCTAAATATTTCAGCAATGTTTTTGCATGAAAATCAAAAAGTAAAAATGAATAGGTCATTCGTGTTGTCCAAATGGAGTGAAGTGTAATGTATGCGATTTGCTTATAAGTTACATTCTTGAAGTTTTCCATTTTTAAAATGTAGAGTGCTGTTAGTAACAAACAGATTTGTTTTAATAGTGTCCCTTTAATATATTGATTCTTCAGATAAGTATCTACTTTCATCAACTATTTTCACCAAGTTAAAGTCCATTACAAATTTTTAAACAATGATGGTCCTACCTCTTCAGTGACAGAAATGCTGTCCTGCTGTTTTAGAAGGGTATTAGCATCCAAGCCATTGCCCAGAATAATCATCTCAATGATATCATCAGACACCTGTTGCTGTACTGAATCTTGAAGCTCTGTGGATAATTGGTCTTGCACACATTGAGTTAGGCTGAATGAACTGTTTGGTTCAGTGGTAGAATCCATTTCAGAGGATTTTGAAGTAAACACAGCTGTTTGAAGGTTGGTGTATTGGAATTTTTCTGTTGAGTTTGCCTGATGATTTAAAATTGTATTACTTGTAACTTGCTGTTGACTCCTAGTAGGTTGCTGTAATAGAGTAGCATTTGCAGAGTTTTCCAAGTGTTTCGTTTCCACTCCCCTTTGTTGCAGTACAGTGGGCTGCTGCAGTGGGGCTTCCTGGGTTTGTAGTCTTTCAGCAGTTGCCTGAACAGAAGATGCATTCACCTGTGCAACAGTGGCAATACTGGCCTGCAGTACTGAAGGCTGCCCAAGCTGCTGAAATATTTGCTGAATAGGATGCTGCAGAATACTGGTACCTCCTGGGGCCTGTGTAACCATAACAGGCATATTTACCTTATAGAGGTGCCCTATAGAGAGAAGTATTAACAGTGGATTATTAAAGCTACCTGTTGGGAGTTAAGCTGATGCTGACCTACTGTTATCAGTGTTAGAATTCAGATGCCAGAACTGCCTATTCCCAACTTAATTCAGTTATACTGTCTACATTGCCCTTAAAACAGTATGAAATCATCATACAAAACAACCATCAAAAGGCTCCTATTTTACAGCAGCACAAGGGCAGGGGGCAATGTTCCCTCTAATTTTTTCCATCCATGTGTGGAATAAATTTTGTTATGTGCACCAAGGTATGTGTGGATGTGCACCACCAGTAGAAACAAAAAACCTAAATGTAATATATATTTTTAAAAAGTTACCATGGGGGTAATTATGCCAGACTGGACAATTTAGGCATTTTAGAACTCACTTCTCAAATAATTAAATTTAAGTGTAAGAGAAATGAAAATTATGAAATTGCATAGATCAGTCAAAACATTAAAATAACACACTTTGAAAGAATAAAATTATAGAGAATATATGTGCATTGCAGGAAGTACCAACAATAATACAAGTATGAGTTGGGAGGTGAGTGTGTGAGAGAGAGAGAGAGAGAGAGAGAGAGCGTGCTTCTGTGTGAGTGACAAAGACACAAACACAGGGACAGTATGTGTGTAAGAGAGACACACACACAGACAGTGTGTGTGTGCTGGCTGCTGGGGAAAGTCATGCACTGTCTCTTTAAGACGCTCACTGAAAGCTCTCCTGCTCTGTTCTGAGCTCTGTTGTCTCCCCTCCCCTGCTCTGCAGAAATGGAGTGGAGAGGAGGGGGGGCGGAGGAGGGGGAAGGAGAGAGACAGACTATGAGCTGGCTAAATCTCAAAAAGTGCACTGTCTCTTTAAGAAGCTAACATTTATTTGAGCATAAGCTTTCGTGAGCTACAGCTCACTTCATCGGATGCATTCAGTGGAAAATACAGCTTATGCTCAGATAAATTTGTTAGTCTCTAAGGTGCCACAAGTACTCCTTTTCTTTTTGCGAATACAGACTAACATGGCTGCTCCTTTGAAACCTGTCTTTAAGAAGGGCACTCAGTCTCCTAGCAGCTCCAAGTCCTCCTGAGCCAAGCTGTCCCCTCTGCTCTGCTCTGTAGAGATGGGGTACAGGGGTGGGGGACACCCTGACATCAGCACCCTCCTCCCACCCGCACACCCTGCCCCGCTCTACACAGCCAGCAGGAGGGTACCGAGAGCAGCTGCAGGATGGGGCAACATGTGGGGAGGGGCACCTGAACACAGCTGCTGGCTGTGCGCGCCCTGCTAATTGGCTGGGCAGCATCTGAATATCTCCTGCGAGGCCGCCCAAGCGCACAGTTTACAGGGAACACAGCTGGGGGCTTCAAGCTAATCAAACACACGCTATCTAGAGAGTAAGGCTTGGTCTACACTAGGAATTTACATCAGTACAGCCATCTCTCAGGGATGTGAAAAATCTGCACCCTAAATGATATAGCTACACCAGCCTAACACCTGATGTAGACAGTACTAGGTAGACAGAAGAATTCTTCCATCAACCTAGCTACCACCTCTCAGGGAGGTGGATTACTATGCTGAGGGGAGAAGCCCTCCCATCAGCATAAGTAGTGTCTACATTAAAGTGCAAAAGCAGTGCAGCTGCGCCACTAGCATTTTATATTTAGACATAGCCTGAGGCAGGAGACAGAACCACCACCACTTCCAGCTGTGTTTGGAAAGAGTGCTCTGCTAAGAATCTCAGCACCTGGGCTTAGAGGCTGAACTACCAATATATTTTTCCTTACTGGTGGGCTATTTAGTAAGTTTTCCAAAGGGCTGAAGTGGTAAAATGTATGGGTATCATCAAAGTCAGTAGATAGGACTCAATACACATAGGTAGATCTGATGGAGGAAGAGAAAAGTGGTTACACCAATTGGTGTAGATGGACTTATATTTGGGGAGACAGCTCCAGTCAGGCCAATGGGGCTGCAAGGCGGGGGGAGGAGCAAATTCCACACCTGCCCAAGAGTTGCAGTTTGGGGGGACAATGCCCCTCCTCCCCCCCCCCAAACTACACCCATGGTTACACCACTGAGGGTTGCCTTCCCCTCAAAGTGCTCTGGTGAGTGCAAGGAGAGGGTTAATTTCTCCACACAGCCTTCTAGGCTATACTATGTAACCCTGTCAGAAAGAAAAGGGTGGGGACTGGGGATGGAGGGAATTGATCAAAACAAAGCAGTTAAGGAAAATCCACCCTGACAAGGCAGAATCTGTCTTGACCTATTGGAGACTGGATAGACTACTTGGCTTTCCACATCTCCCTCAATCAGGAGGAGGACATGCCCACATCTGGGCTGACACAGGAGAATCTACAGCAGGAGCAGTATAACAAAGAGAATGGCATCACCTGGGAATAATGTTAAATAACATTGCAGGGGTGCACTATTACATGCTGCAGATTTAACAGAGACCCTGTAACTGGTCAATAGCAGTCACTTTATAAGCAGCTACAGGTTCATAAAGAGTAAAAAACCAGAGGATAATTTGTTTCATCCACCTATGCTTTACTCTAGCATCCAGTTTACACCCCATGCACTTCTGATAGTCTTTTGAGATCTGTACACAGTTATAGCCCATAAAGTCAGTTTGCTAGCTTGCTATATTGCATAATGTGTTTCCTTCGTTGGTTTGATTGATTATATTATTTGCTTGGGTTTTGATTATGCTGAATTCCAGTATATGTTATTCATAATAGTTGGCTGTAATGCAAGGAACCTACAGGCCTGTATCCTGTGTGATTAGCAAGAGCAAGTCAGTATGAGTGTTTGTAACCTTTGGCATAGATAAATGGCCTACTGGTTACCCCTTTTGACTTTGGGGAACTGAATGGGGAACCAAACAAAGAACTGAGTATCTTTACCATAGATCTAGAACAGACTGGTAACCGCAAGGTACACCGCAGAACAAGGAAGTAATAAGTTAGGCCAAGGGTTATGGTTTCGGGGATGAGATAATCAATATTAATATGTATGAATATATGTCATAATATGTTACTCTATGTTAGGGGGCTTATTCCTTCACCCACTTACTTCCCTGGTCCTTTTCGCATGAACAGAGAGCGACAATACCCGAAGTCCAAAGGTGCAAACAATTTGATGTTTACTGGGGTGAACTTCCAGCAAGCATGATTACAGTTTCCTTCCTTAGTGTCCCCCTTCCCAGCTCTGACACCACAGAACCTTACCTGTGGCCCTGTTCCCATTCCTGCCCTTAGCTAAACATGATTCCAATTTCCTCACCCCCATTTCCATTTCCCCCACCCCCATTCCCATTTCCCCCACCCCCCCACACACCCAGCCACTTCCTGACTGACTGTAGACTATAGAGTAAAACTTGAGTTCTGCTTAGCTATACCTTAACTATGATACCTTATCTATGATTCTATGATACCTTAACCAATCATTTTACTGAAATTTAACTAACCAATCCTAACATATTGTAACATGATTATTTAACCAATTATATCCCACCACCTTGATTAGTTTACACCCAGCAAAATTAATTATACAGCAGACAGTAACAATCACAGAACCAGACAGAGATTATACAGACAAACAATGGGGAAATGGGGACTACAGTGATAGCACAATACAGAAGTGAGGATTTCACATCCCAGCTATTGATAAGTGAGTTCTTGCCAGACAGGATGCTATCAAACTAAGTTTCCTTTTACATTTTCTAGGCACTTCCCTTTCTCTGGAGGCAATAGGCATTATCAGGACAGGACTGTATTCCTAACAGCACCTTATTTCAATGTGACTAGTTTGGAATGTGAGGATGTGACTGGTCGCTTCCCAGCTTATGGCTGCCTCTGTTGCTTAGCCAGAGATCTCAGCCTAAGAACAGGGCGTCAGACTGTCACAGTGAAAAAAAGGCCTTATACAGTCAGACAGTGACTTTGATTCTCTCTTTTATACCTCTAGAACTAGCCAAGTGATAAGAATACACCTAAATTCTTAGAGTATAGGCCTTTAGAGACAGGCCTGAACATCTATATCCTAATACTCTACAGAGTAAGTGTACCCAAAGATTTATCTCAGTGAGGAAATAAGATTTGGGCATGGTTGGGCTTTGATTAAGGGAGTGCCAGGACCCTATAAGAGGGCAAACAACCAAGCAGGAGGGTTGCTCTTTCCTATCTTCTATAAAGCTATCAGCTCAGCTTTGCAATATAGGTTAGCTACTCAACACTCGAACCTAATCCCTACCAACTTGGGAAGCCTGGACCATCAAATTCATCGGGCATGCCAGAGACGAGGCTGGTCTTCTGTCTCCACCACCAGGTCTTCAGGGAAGGATGTGAGTATGCTAGTTTAAGTAGTCTTTTAAAATAGAGATGTTACCATCAGGGGTCATAGAATTGTATTACTTCTTTGTGACTCTGTGTTTTATATGGTTTATTATTCTTTCCTTCATTTTAATAAAGATCTTAACAATTTGGTATTGTCCTCAGTGTAAGTGTCTTTGCCATACAACCCGAGGGTCCTCTCACAACGTCAAACTCCATGTTCTCACCCTGTAGCCTGAACTGGGAAAAGAACCTAAATATCTTCTGGTCAGATCATTGGCGAGCCATAATAAACGCCCATAAATTCAGGTCAACACAGTCTACGTACTATAACTGGTGTTTGAGTTCAGCTTTTCTTAATCTTACCAGATGCAGTCTGTAGCGTTACTCCAGCAGGTACATGGATAGGATAAGCAATACCCGAAGGGAGAGTCAAAGTTGCACCGGTTCGTGAAGCATCCTAGATACACAGCAGATTTACTAGGGAAATTAAGTTGCATTCCGTGCCCTATCCTTTGAGGCCCGAGCAGTCACACTTGCAAAATGAAGCTCAAGAAATCTAAGTTACATGATCATCCCTACTGAAAAATGGTTTTGCCCCTTAGGCTACAGCAGTGCTTAATGAAGTGTCCTATTTACATGCTCCCTGCCCAATATGCCCCTTCCCTTTCCAGCTCCTATTTCTTCTCTAGGGAAAACTCCTTGCAGCCCCTCACTCTGCACCTCAAGCACCAGTATGCTACGTTCCCCCCATAATATCCAGCCTCCTACATTTCAATATTAGCAGTACGAGGCAGCCCTACCACCACCCAAATAAATCAACTTGTCCCCCCACCACAATGCACATCCACAAAGCCCTCTACTAGAGCAGTTGAGCCTGTTTCCAGGGCTCCCTGCTTCCCTGCTTCACAGGGTGTCACTCCACTGGAAGCATCCCTTCCACTAACTTTCAACAGTTGCTCTAATAGCAGAGCAGCCAGGAACACCCATCTCCCCTTTACTCCTCTGGCAATGGTGGTTGCCCTGAAGCGGTCTCTGCAGACAGGTAGATTGGAAAGATTTTAATCACAACCATAAGGACTAAATTTTATGGGTTTTTTTTTAATTTTTAAATGAACACTTAGATTCTATGGATGTTGAATGCACACACCCAGCAAAGACTCCTCCCTCTTGTCTACTGTACATCATGTAAGGCACAAAATAAATGATCAGAAGTACTATTAGGCACTGAAAATTACCCACGTGCTATCTAGAGCAGGGGTGGGCAAATTTTTTTTGGCCCGTGGGCCACAGCTGGGTGGGGAAATTGCATGCAGAGCCATGAATGTAGGGCTGGGGCAGAGGGTGCGGAGAGGGGGGCTGGTGCAGGAAAGGTCTCAGGGCAAGGGATTGGGGCGCAGGAGGGGGTGTGGGGTGTACGAGGGGGCTCAGGGCAGGGGGTTGGGGTGCAGGAGGGAATGCGGGAGAGGGCTCAGAGCAAGGGGTTGGGGTGCGGGCTCCGGCCCGGCGCTGCTTACCTTCAGCAGCTCTGGGGTAGAGGCGGCCAATGGGAGCTGCAGGAGGCGGTGCCAGCAGGTGAGGGCAGCGCACAGAGACCTCTGCCCCCCCGGGGCAGCAGGGACCTGGTGCCGGCCGCCTCGGGAGCGGCGCGGGGCTAGGGCAGGCAGGGAGCCCGCCTTAACCCCATGGCACCACGGGGGGTGCCAATCCCGTGGGCCGGATCCAAAGCCCTGATGGGCTGGATCCTGCCCACCCCGATCTAGAGCACGTAGATACTGAAATATTTCACTTCCGCCTCCCACTAAGTCCTTTAACACATGCAAAGAGCCTTAACTTTTTCATTTAGAGTGTTAAATATTGTCAAGTTAGACATAAAATAACATTAAAATTACATACCAGGTCTGCTGTTGTGAATTGTTGAATACCTCTGCCAGTAGGGATGACTAAAGAAGCTACACAGAAACAATAAGATACACTGAAATATGCACACCAAAGAATAAGCATTCAATTTCATACACATTGTAGCTTCTTGCCCCATCACTTGCCCCATAACCTCAGCCGTGCAGAACACAATGCCATCCACAGCCTCAGAAACAACTCTGACATCATAATCAAAAAGGCTAACAAAGGAGGTGCTGTCGTCATCATGAATAGGTCGGACTATGAACAAGAGGCTGCTAGGCAGCTCTCCAACACCACTTTCTACAAGCAATTACCCTCTGATCCCACTGAGGGTTACCAAAAGAAACTATACCATTTGCTCAAGAAACTCCTTGAAAAAGAACAAGAACAAATCTGCACAGACACATCCCTGGAACCAGTGGTGAGCTGGAGCCGGTTCGCAAGAACCCGTTGTTAAATTTAGAAGCCCTTTTAGAACCGGTTGTTCCACGAGGGACAACCGGTTCTAAAAGGGCTTCTAAATTTAACCGGGCCAAAAGTGGCGCCTTAGGCGCCAACTCCAAAGGTGCTCCAGCCCTGGAGCACCCAAGGGGAAAATTTGGTGGGTGTAGAGCACCCACCGGCAGCTCCCCATCCCACCCCCATCCCCAGCTCACCTCACCTCTGCTCCGCCTCCTCCCCTGAACGCGCCGCCCCACTCTGCTTCTCCACCCCCCAAGGCTTCCCGCGAATCAGCTGTTCACACGGGAAGCCGGGGCAGGCTGAGAAGCAAGCAGCAGCTTCCCGCTCAGGCCCAGGGAGGCGGAGGTGAGCTTGGAGGGGGGGTAGGGGGGAAGAGGGCCGCCCCCGCCGCAGCTGGTAACCCGGGGGGGGGGGGCGCACAGGGGAACCGCTCCCCGCCCCAGCTCACCTCCGCCTCCCTCGGCCTGAGTGGGAAGCCGTGGCCTGCTTCTCAGTCCTCCCCGGCTTCCTGCCGAACAGCTGATTCGTGGGAAGCCGGGGGGGGGGGGCGGTCACGGAGAAGCAGAGCGGGGCGCTGCGTTCAGGGGAGGAGGCAGAGCGGAGGTGAGCTGGGGCCGGGCGGGGAGCTGCCAATGGGTGCTCTGCACCCACCAAATTTTCCCTGTGGGTGCTCCAGGTACTCCCCACCTCACCCCCCCAGCTGGTGCCTCTGGCTCTTAGGGGTGGGGTGGGCAACCACTACAGTGGCCCATGAGACCCTCCCGCACAGTACTGGGGGCAGTCAGGGGACAGAGGTGGATGGGGCAGGGGTCCTGGGGGAGGCGTCAAGGAACGCGGGGGGGTTGGATGGGGCAGGAGTCCCAGGGGGCGGGGGTGGGCAATGACCCCCTCGTGGGGTGAGGAGGGAACCCGTTGTTAAGATTTTGGCTGGTCATAACTGCCCGGAACCCCGCCCTGGGGTATTCTATCTGCTACCCAAGATCCATAAACCTGGAAATCCTGGACACCCCATCATCTCAGGCATTGGCACCCTGACAGCAGGATTGTCTGGCTATGTAGACTCCCTCCTCAGGCCCTACGCTACCAGCACTCCCAGCTATCTTCGAGACACCACTGACTTCCTGAGGAAACTACAGTCCATCGGTGATCTTCCTGAAAACACCATCCTGGCCGCTATGGACGTAGAAGCCCTCTACACCAACATTCCACACAAAGATGGACAACAAGCCATCAGGAACAGTATCCCCGATAATGTCACAGCAAACCTGGTGGCTGAACTTTGTGACTTTGTCCTCACCCATAAATATTTCACATTTGGGGACAATGTATACCTTCAAATCAGTGGCACTGCTATGGGTACCCGCATGGCCCCACAGCATGCCAACATTTTTATGGCTGACTTAGAACAATGCTTCCTCAGCTCTCGTTCCCTAATGCCCCTACTCTACTTGCGCTACATTGAAGAAATCTTCATCATCTGGATCCATGGAAAAGAAGCCCTTGAGGAATTCCACCATGATTTCAACGATTTCCATCCCACCATCAACCTCAGCGTGGACCAGTCCACACAAGAGATCCACTTCCTGGACACTACGGTGCTAATAAGCGATGGTCACATAAACACCACCCTATACCGGAAACCTACTGACCGCTATTCCTACCTACATGCCTCCAGCTTTCACCCTGACCACACCACATGATCCATTGTCTACAGCCAAGCTCTACAATACAACTGCATTTGCTCCAACCCCACAGACAGAGACAAACACCTACAAGATCTCTATCAAGCATTCTTACAACTACAATACCCACCTGCTGAAGTGAAGAAACAGATTGATAGAGCCAGGAGAGTACCCAGAAGTCACCTACTACAGGACAGGCCCAACAAAGAAAATAACGGAATGCCACTAGCCATCACCTTCAGCCCCCAACTAAAACCTCTCCAGCACATCATCAAGGATCTACAACCTATCCTGAAGGATGACCCATCACTCTCACAGAATCTTGGGAGACAGGCCAGTCCTTGCTTACAGACAGCCCCCCAACCTGAAGCAAATACTCACCAGCAACCACACACCACACAACAGAACCACTAACCCAGGAACCTATCCTTGCAACAAAGCCCATTGCCAACTGTGTCCACATATATATTAAGGGGACCATCATAGGGCCTAATCACATCAGCCACACTATCAGAGGCTTGTTCACCTGCACATCTACCGATGTGATATATGCCATCATGTGCCAGCAATGCCCCTCTGCCATGTACATTGGTCAAACTGGACAATCTCCACGTAAAAGAATAAATGGACACAAATGAGACGTCAAGAATTATAACATTCAAAAAACCAGTCGGAGAACACTTCAATCTCTTTGGTCACTCGATTACAGACCTAAAAGTTGCAATTCTTCAACAAAAAAACTTCAAAAACAGACTCCAACGAGAGACTGCTGAATTGGAATTAATTTGCAAACTGGATACAATTAACTTAGGCTTGAATAAAGACTAGGAGTGGATGGGTCATTACACAAAGTAAAACTATTTCCCCATGTTTATTTCCCCCCCACACCCCCCACTGTTCCTCCGACTTTCTTGTAAACTGCTGGAAATGGCCCACCTTGATTATCACTACAAAAGGTTATTTCCCCCCTGCTCTCCTGCTGGTAATAGCTCACCTTAAGTTATCACTCTCGTTACAGTGTGTATGGTAACACCCATTGTTTCATGTTTTCTGTGTATATAAATCTCCCCACTGTACTTTCTACTGAATGCATCCGATGAAGTGGGCTGTAGCTCACGAAAGCTTATGCTCAAATAAATTGGTTAGTCTCTAAGGTGCCACAAGTACTCCTTTTCTTTTTGCGAATACAGACTAACACGGCTGCTACTCTGAAAATTGTAGCTTCTGTCAACATAAACTACATTGAAGACAAGACAGATTACTTTATATCTGGTATTAGAGTGATAAATATGTTTTAAGTGAACAATCCTGAACACTGCTGAATACATTTGCCATTATTTAATATTTCAGCAAGTCTTCGTTATACTTTGGAAATTTATAAATCTAGAATATTTATAAGTACTGTTATTCACAAGACCTCGCTGAGTTAAGCAGACTGAAGAGTTAAATTTAAAGATACGTTTTTTGAGTTGCACTGTAGAAATTAAGTTTGGCATTTCTATTTATTACACCACCATTTTAACCTGACTGAATAAACATATCGAATGTACTGCATTGTCAACACTAGAAAAATTAGGAAGCAATTTTCTGCACTGGTGCAGCTCCAGTGGTGCTCGCAGCAGAAGCAGGATGGGATTTTTAAGAGCACTCAGCATTGGTTTATCTGCTCCCATTATAGTCAATGGTAAAACACTGATTACAAAAGGAACAGAATTAGACCACTGCTGACCACTTTTGAAAATCCTACTCAAAGCATAAACAGAGTCCATACATTTTTACAGTTGTGTTACCTTTAATGGAGCCTGTTCTACCCTAGGTATTTCCCACCTCTACAGGAAAAGTTAGAAGACAATGCTTCCAATAGTGAGTGAATCTAGAAGTCGATCCCCTTGGGCCAGGTTAAATAAATAATGCCTCTATACTTTGCATATATAAATTGATACATTTATAAAAAGGATTGTAAAATGAAGTTGCCTGCAACTCATTGGGGACAGGACTCAATGTCCAGGAGTACTATATCCCTATATATTTATTATTACATCTAAAAACATTAATAAAACATTAAGGTTACATGATCAAACACTCAAAAAATTAGAAAAGGAGTACTTGTGGCACCTTAGAGACTAACCAATTTATTTGAGCATGAGCTTTCGTGAGCTACAGCTCACTTCATTGGATTGCCAGCAGGAGAGTGAGTTTGTGTGTGTGTGTGTGTGTTCCCCCCGGGGGGGCGAGAAAGCCTAGATCTGTGCTGGAAATGACCCACCTTGATTACTATGCACATTGTAGGGAGAGTAGTCACTTTGGATGAGCTATTACCAGCAGGAGAGTGAGTTTGTGTGTGGGGGGGTGGAGGGTGAGAAAACCTGGATTTATGCTGGAAATGGCCCACCTTGATTATCATACACATTGTGAAGAGAGTGGTCACTTTGGATGGGCTATTACCAGCAGGAGAGTGAGTTTGTGTGGGGGGGGGTGGAGGGTGAGAAAACCTGGATTTGTGCTGGAAATGGCCCAACTTGATGATCACTTTAGATAAGCTATTACCAGCAGGACAGTGGGGTGGGAGGGGGTATTGTTTCATGGTCTCTGTGTGTATATAATGTCTACTGCAGTTTCCACAGTATGCATCCAATGAAGTGAGCTGTAGCTCACGAAAGCTCATGCTCAAATAAATTGGTTAGCCTCTAAGGTACCACAAGTACTCCTTTTCTTTTTGCAAAGACAGACTAACACGGCTGTTACTCTGAAACCTGTCAAAAAATTAGGAAATACCAGAATCAAAGTTGCCCATTCAACCTTTAAATTGGTCACTTGTGCGTATACATGATGATACAATCTTGACTTACACGTTCACATACTATTTTTTCCACTGGATCCCTGTCTCTACTGTCAATACTCTCTCACAGTAGGGGACCCCTCAGTTGCTGATCTAGGCAGCTTTAAGTACTCTTGGAACCACCAGAATGGTGCAAAAGGACTTAAAGGACTAAGATCTGGTCCTAAAACAAAATGCTAGAACTGTTGATTAATTGCAGTTAACTCACGCGATTAACTCAAAAAAAATTAACCGCAATTTAAAAAATTAATCATGATTAATTGCAGTTTTAATCGCACTGTTAAACAATAGAATACCAATTGAAATGTATTAAATATTTTGGATTTTTTTCTACATTTTCATATATATTATATTCTGTGTTGTAACAAATCAAAGTGTATATTATTTTTTATTACAAATATTTGCACTGTAAAAATGATAAACAAAAGAAATAGTATATTCACCTCATACAAGTACTGTAATGCAATCTCTTTATTGTGAAAGTGCAACTTACAAATGTAGATTCTTGTAACATAAGTGCACTCAAAAAAAAAAAAAAGTAAAACTTCAGAGCCTACAAGTCCACTCAGTCCTACTTCTTGTTCAGCCAATTACTAAGACAAACAAGTATGTTTACATTTACTGGAGATAATGCTGCCCGCTTCTTATCTACATCACCAGAGAGTGAGAACAGGCATTTGCATGGCACTTTTGTAGCCAGCATTGCAAGGTATTTACGTGCCAGATACACTAAACATTCATATTCTCCTTCATGCTTCGGCCACCATTCCAGAGGACATGCTTTCATGCTGATGATGCTCGTTAAAAAAATGTGTTAATTAAATTTGTGACTGAACTCCTTGGGGCAGAATTGTATGTCCCCTGCTCTGCTATATGCATTCTGCCATATAGTTCATGTTATAGCAGTCTCGGATGATGACCCAGCACACGTTCATTTTAAGAACACTTTCACTGCAGATTTCACAAAACGCAAGAAGGTACCAATGTGAGATTTCTAAAGATAGCTATAGCACTCGACCCAAGATTTAAGAATCTGAAGTGCCTTCCAAAATCTGATATGGTCTAGATGTAGAGCATGCTTTCAGAAGTCTTACACTCCAGTGCGGAAACTACAGAACCCGAAACACCAAAAAAGAAAATCAACCTTGTGCTGGTGACATCTGACTCAGATAATGAAAATTAAAGTGTCAGTCCGCACTGCTTTGGATTCTTATCGAGCAGAACCCGTCATCCGCAAAGACACATGTCCCCTGGAATGGTGGTTGAAGCACGAAAGGACATATGACTCTTTAGTGCATCTGGCACGTAAATATCTTGCGATTCCGGTTATAACAGTGCCATGAGAATGCCTGTTCTGGCTATCAGGTGACATTATAAACAAGAACCAGGCAGTATTATTTCCTGCAAATGTAACCAAACTTGTTTGTCTGAGCGATTAGCTTAAGAAGAAGTAGGACTGAGTGGACTTGTAGGCTCTAAAATTTTACATTTGTTATTTTTGAATGCAGTTTTTTTGTGCATAATTCTACATTTGTAAGTTCAACTTTCGTGATAAAGCAATTGCACTACAGTACTTGTATTATGTGAATTGAAAAATACCATTTCTGTTTGTTGGGTTTTTTTACAGTGCAAATATTTGTAATCAAAAATAAATATAAAGTGATACTGTACACTATGTACTGTACACTATGTACTCTGTGTATACTGTACACTATGTACTCTGTGTTGTAATTGAAATAAATATATTTGAAAATGTAGAAAACATCCAAAAATATTTAAATAAAATGGTTTCATAGTAGCAGCCATGTTAGTCTGTATTCGCAAAAAGAAAAGGAGTACTTGTGGCACCTTAGAGACTAACAAAGTGGTATTCTATTATTGTTTAATCACGCAATTAATTTTTTTAATCGCTTGACAGCCCTACAAAGTACCTCTTTTTAGTTTGAATTATTCAACACTGGAAGAATCTATTAAAAAACGAACTGAATTAGAATTATTCCATGTGGTTTTTTTTAAACCTACGAATTTTAGTGTTATACTTCTGGCCTAGAGAACAGAGGGCTACAATTCTGATCTCATGTGCATCAGTGCAAATCTGAAGTAGCTCTACTGAACTCAAGTATCTGGATTTACATTAGTGTGCCAGAACAGGATTTGTCCCTTAGTGGGCCAAATTCTGCTTCTCTGTCACTCTAGATCTACACCAAAGTAAAAGAGAGCAGAATTTGGCCTATCACGCACAATTCAAATGAAAAGGTTATTGAAACACTGAACTACTGTTAAATTGCAACTGTTGGCCTCTCACAAATAATATCCAACCTGTTGATGTCTGCAGTGTGCGATGTAAGTTGTGTGGCAACTGCAAGGTGAACTGGGGTGAACAGTGGCTATGTTTGAAGAACCCTTCTGTCGCTTTAGACTGAGTCACCTTAGCTTCCCAAACCTGCGAAAAAGATGTTAATAAGAAACAATTATTAAGTTGCCAAAATCAGTTTTCATCCATGAATATATTTAAACTTTTCAGGCACTTTAACTATTCAGGATAATCCTGAAAACTGAATGGTTGAATCTAAGAAATCATTTAACAGCAGAATGTTAAGAATAATTACCAGGTTTGGACTCCATGGAGTCCAATTCATGTTTCGGAAGATATGTGTATCTCCCATTGATTTTGATGGAAGGTAGCCTGTATCCTATGGGGCCTTACAAAAATAAAGACAGATAGAAGAAGATATCCCAAGAAAAAGATTGTTTCTTTTATTTATCATTATCCAACAAACCTGCTTCAAGTCTTTCAAGACCTGTTCCTCCACACCTTCTTCTGCAAAGAGTTCCCAGACACCTTCAATCACATCTTCAATAATAGATCTGTAGAGTTTAGGCTGAATAAAACACAATTCAGAGAACTGAAAACATAGGCTGACATTTGCTATAGCTCCAAATGAAGTACAGACTCTCTAACTAGAGGCAGGATTTGTAAGATGGCTCTGTGAGCCATATTATAAAATGAACAGATCCAGGGGACAGTATCATTTGTGGCTGAAGATTTTGGCCAATGTAACTGCTGGGATAACTACATAGGCCAAATCACTTATGGCGCTGTAGAATTAAAAACTAACAGTAAAATACCAAAGGAAAAATTAGGATTTTGGCCTGAATTTTAGATGTATTTTAGTTTATAGTTATTTTTAGATCAACACTCAGTAAGAGTCCTAAAATCATTAGGAGAACAATTCCAACATATTCTCAAACTAGCATGCTCTGTTTCAGGCTAGCATTTGCTGTGTAAGACCATTAAAGAAGCACTGGCTGAAGTGACACAAAGAAGCTCTAGGAAGAAACTAACAATATAAGGAAGAAAATAAAAACCACACTTTCTAGTTTGGCTAGTTTCTAGGACATAAGCAGCTTCAGTTGTGAGCTGAATACAGAGAGTGGAGACTGTTGCTTCATGGTTGATTGTAATAGCTATTTTGCTGCTAACTGTATTGTTATGAGTTATCAATACATAGTTCCAGATTACAAGAAAACTGTAATGAGACATTTTCAAAAGTTGCAATAAAAATAGGAAGAAAAACCCAGTGTAATCTGAAGGTAATTACACTGAAGTCAATGGATTTGATCAGTTTAAGTCATCAGAATCAGACCTGGAGAAGATTTTTTGCCCCTCTGCTCAGGCCAATAGTTTCTCTTTTAGGTCACGATCCTACAGCCAGATCCCTAAGTGTAGACGGAGAACAGGGCTTTGTGCAGGGTGAAGGGTTCACCTATATGGATCTGATTGCAAGGTCATGGCCCTCAATTGCTAAAAGCTGTTTTAGTCAGAAAACTGATTACTACAAAGTGTGCCATGTGTGGACATTAGGCTAGAACCTGAACCTTTAACCAACCTTTGAAGTGTTAGGATACTAAATCTTCAAAGTTTATTTTTAACATTAAGATTTTTTTAAAAAAAAACCTACTATCTGTAAAATTAGGATGCTTGAAATAAGATGATTTTCAAGTGAAACATATTTGAGGGCATGAAGCTGTCATGAAGTAACTAATACTTCTAGCAGAAAAGCAATCAGCCCAAGTGTACAATTGTCTCACAACAACAACATACATAGCCATGTGGGAGGGGGCGAGGGGCAGCAGAGGCAGGTGACACTAAAGATCTTGGAAAAATTCCAAGGCACATTTCAACAGATCAGCTGTAGAAAAAAATAAAATAAAATCAGTTCTTGCAAAATTATAGTCAAGAACTCAAATGGCCTTCCCCTGCCAATTCAGTAGACATCCTGAGATTAAATTACTGTAAAACAAACATTTTGCTTTCAAATGGTCAGTTTTCTTTGAGAATTAGGTCAAGTTATATTTTATTATGCAAAGTCTTACAAAAAGTTAAAAGCCTTATTCTGATATATGTTACAAACAGGATTCTAAGTGGTAACCTCACAGTTCCAAAACTAAATACTGTACTTACAACATGATCACAATTATCATAGAGCGTGTATATTAGCATGCTCCATTCTTATCTCACACATACAACTGTCACACCATGAGGTCAGATAAATCAATAACTGTCATGTCTTGAAATGAGTTTTTAGCTTTCCTGTAAAAAACATGCAGTGTTGGGGAAGTGATGAAGTGGGGGTGCACCTAACAAAATAAAAAGGAGCATGGAAATGATCAAGGCCTCAATCCTAAAAACTTTAAGTCTCCATGACTTCAATGGGAGCACTCACATCTTAAAGTTAAAGTGAGGCAAAAATTATTTCTGATAGCACCCACTATGTGCTAGATGCTTTCCAAACACTCAGGAAGGATGTTCCTGTGGGGAGCTCAGAAAGGAAGCTCAAAACCATAAGTTTGAGTGAAGGATTCAGATTTCTCCCTAGCACCAACTAACTAATTTCAGGAAAATAATAGATATTTATCCAAACTAGGTCATGTTTACTTGAAAACTATATAATATCTCTCAACAGCACACCGTTAATGCTTTTACTAAGTCACACACAAAACAGTTTTAGAAAGAAAGCTTCAGGGCTTTCAAACTAAACTCTAGTCTCCAGATTATATTTTAAAAGTCCGTTTCTAATTTCGGTAACAAGAACAACAAATTGAGGCAGTCACTAAATTAAAACCCAGTTCTGACAGACTTTTGCTTGACTGCACAAACCCCTTCGGTGTTTTGTTAATAACTGAAGGTCTTTAATGCTATCACACGGGAGGAGAAGTAGTATCTGGCGCCCAGTTCTTGGTAATCCAGGTCGCAAAGGCGTGCTCTACGCACAGCGCTCCACGGTTGCTGTCTCCGCCGAGCTGTTGTAGGGCAGGAGCTTGCAGCGTCTCAGCATGGCCTCGGCGGCACAGACCAAACACTGAACGTTTCCCACTTTCGTCTGTGCACCAAGTGGACCCCGCTCGCATCTAGGTGGTGGGGCCTCGATCCCTCTGCCCCTCTGGGCAGGGCCCTGGGCGCCCGGCCTGTCACAGGGCAGAGGGAAAAGGCAGCCGGGACGTTCCTGTGAAGCCCTAATATTACACTGCGGGCCGACCTGGGCAAGTGACTCCTTTTTCTCCTCCGGCCCCGTTTCCCTCCTGCCCCTCGGCGGGAGACCACCCTGGTCCCGGCCCTTACCACGGGGTTTGCATGAGCCATAGCTGCGCCGCCAAGCGACGCGCCCCTGCGCCGCCAGAAAAGCGCTGGGACCACACGGCTCAGCGTGTAACGTCCTGTGCAGCTGCTTGCTGCCGCCCCCTGCTGGGTTCCCATGGCAACTGACCCGGAGGTGGCTCGGCCTGGCTATGCTGCAGCCCCGCTCAGCCAGGCCCCGGGGCACCGCTGTGAAGACGCTCTGCTGTCCACCAGCGGCCATGGCCCTAGAGCAGAGTGCTGGCTACTCACCCTCTAAGGGTCACCCTGTGTGGCGACTGGCAACAGGACCCTGAACCAGCAGGCTAGACACCCATGGCACCAGCACCCATAGGCAGGGGCGAAGAAGCCTCTGCTCAGGGATTGCCAAAGGTAAATTGCTACAAGACCAACTGCTACGTCTTGTAGTCACCATTGTGCTGTGATGCACTGCAAAACGACCCTGCTGTCACACCAGCACACCCCTGCGTGATGGCATTGCACTGAGACATTGTCACACCCAGATACACTGCAATAACACCACAGAATTATAGAAGATTTGGGTTGGAAGAGACCTCAGGAGGTCATTTAGTCCAACCCCCTGCTCAAAGCAGGACCAACATAAGTTAAATCATGCCAGCCATGGCTTTGTCAAGCCAGGCCTTGAAAACGTCTAAGGATGGAGATTCCACCACCTCCCTAGCTAACCAATTCCAGTACTTCACAACCACTGTTCCCTCTAAGCTGTTCACGTGATCCTAAACCTCGCACACACAGCGAAACACTGCGTGCACAAAAATTTGCACAGAAGAAATTTTTTGCACACACAGCCTTTCAAAAATTAGAGGGAACATTGTTCACAACCCTCCTAGTGAAATAGTGTTTCCTAATATCCAACCTAGACAGTCCCCACTGCAACTTGCAACCATTGCTCCTTGTTCTGTCATCTGCCACCACTGAGAACAGCTGAGCTCCATCCTCTTTGGAACCCCCCTTCAGATAGTTGAAGGCTGCTATTAAATCCCCCCTCACTCTCCTCTTCTGCAGACTAAACAAGCCCAGTTCCCTCAGCCTCTCCTTGTAAGTCATGTGCCCCAGCCCTTTGATCATTTTCATTTCCCTCCGCTGGACTCTCTCTAATTTGTCCACATCCTTTCTGTAGTGAGGGGCCCAAAACTGGATGCAATACTCCAGATGTGGCCTCACCAATGCCAAATATAGAGGGGAATAATCACTTCCTTCAATCTGCTGGCAATGCTCCTAGTAATGCAGCCCAATATGCCGTTAGCCTTCTTGGCAACAAGGGCACACTGCGGACTCGTATCCAGCTTCTCGTCCACTGTAATCCCCAGGTCCTTTTCTGCAGAACTGCCGCTTAGCCAGTCAGACCCCAGCCTGTAGCAGTGCATGGGATTCTTCCATCCTAAGTGCAGGACTCTGCACTTGTCCTTGTTGAATCTCATCAGATTTCTTTTGGCCAAATCCTCCAATTTCTCTAGGTCACTCTGGATCCTATCCCTACCCTCCACTGTATCTACCTCTCTCCCCAGCTTAGTGTCATCCACGAACTTGCTGAGGGTGCAATCCACCCCAGCATCCATATCATTAATAAAGATGTTGAACAAAACTGGCCCCAGAACTGACCCCTGGGGAATTCCTTGATATCAGCTGCAAACTAGACATCGAGCTGTTGATCACTATCTATTTAGCCCGACAATCTAGCCAGCTTTCTATCCACCTTATAGTCCATTCATCCAATCCATACCTTTTTAACTTGCTGGCAAGAATACTGTGGGAGACCGTATCAAAAGCTTTGCTAAAGTCATGATATATCATGTCCACCGTTTTCCCCATATCCACAGTGCCAGTTATCTCATCATAGAAGGCAATCAGGTTGGTCAGACATGACTTGCCCTTGGTGAATCCATGTTGACTGTTCCTGATCACCTTCCTCTCCTCCAAATGCTTCAAAATGGATTCCTTGAGGACCTGCTCCATGATTGTTCCAGGGACTGAGGTGAGGCTGACCAGTCTGTAGTTCCCCATGTTCTCCTTCTTCCCTTTTTTAAAGATGGGCACTACATTTGCCTTTTTCCAATCATCTGGGACCTCCCCTGATCACCTCAAGTTTTCAAAGATAATGGCCAATGGCTCTGCAATCACATCAGCCAATTCCCTGAGCACGCTTGGATGCATTAGATCTGGACCCATGGACTTGTGCATGTCCAGCTTTTCTAAATAGGCCTTAACCTGTTCTTTCGCCACTCAGGGCTGTTTACCTTCTCCCCATACTGTGTTGCCCAGGACAGCAATGTGGGAGCTGACCTTGACTGTGAAGACTGAGGCAAAAAAAGCATTGAGTACTTCAGCTTTTTCTACCTCATCTGTCAGTAGGTTGCCTCCCCCATTCATTAAGGGTCCCACACTTTCCCTGACCTTTTTCTTATTGCTAACATACCTGTTGTCAAGGTTCCATCCCCACTCTGAACTCTAGGGTACAGATGTGGGGACCCACATGAAAGACTCCATAAGCTTATTTCTACCAGCTTAGGTTAAAAACTTCCCCAAGGCACAAATCCTTCCTGGTCCTTGGATGGGTACTGCTGCCACCACCAAGTGAGTTAGAGAAAGATTCAGGAAAAGGACCACTTGGAGTTCCTGTTCCCTAAAATATCCCCCCCAAGCCTTAAAAAACAGAACTTTATTATAAAGAAACAAAAGTAAAAGAAGCACCTCTGTAAAATCAGGATGGAAGATAACTTTACAGGGTAATCAGATTCAAAACACAGAGGATTCCCCTCTCAGCAAAACTTTAAAGTTACAGAAAAACAGGGAATAAACCTCCCTCTTAGCACCTTGGAATTTCACAAGCTAAAACAAAAGATAATCTAAGCCTTGCCTTATTTATTTACTCTTTTTGCAATAATTGAGACTCATAAAGGATGATTTTAGAAGGAGTTTTCTGACCTGATGCTTCTCTGCTTCCCCAGAGAACACACAACAAAGAGCACAAACAAAGCCTCCCTCCCCTCCCCGATTTGAAAGTATCTTCTTTCCCATTGGTCCTTTTGGTCAGGTGCCCACCAGGTTATTTGAGCTTTTTAACCCCTTACAGGTAAGGAGGAATTCTAGGCTACCCTTAGCTGTATGTTTATGACATCTGTAGAAACCCTTCTTGTTATCCTTCACATCACTTGCTAGCTGGAACTCCAGTTATGTTTTGGCCTTCCTGATTACACCCCTGCATGCTCGAGCAATATTTTTATACTCCTCCCTAGTCATATGTCTAAGTTTCTATTTCTTGTAAGCTTCCTTTTTGTGTTCAAGCTCACCAAAGAGTTCACTGTTAAGCCAAGCTGGTCGCCTGCAATATTTGCTATTCTTTCTGCACATCCGGATGGTTAGTTCCTGCATCTTCAATAAGGCTTCTTTAAAATACAGCCAGCTTTCCTGGACTCCTTTCCCCCTCATATTAGCTTCCCAGGGGATCCTGCCCATCAGTTCCCTAAGGGAGTCAAAGTCTGCTTTTCTGAAGTCCAGGATATGTATTTTGCTACTCTCCTTTCTTCCTTTTGTGAGTATCTTGAACTCAACCATCTCATAGTCACTGCTGCCCTGCTTGATGGCATCGTACTGAGACATTGTCACTCCCTGATATGCTGCAATGCAACCCTGCTGTCATGCCAGCACACTTCTGTGTGATGGCATCTGGAGCAGTGTATGCACACCCCATTACTGCCGGGGTGGTTAGTGGATGTGAGGACACCTCAGTTACTGTCTACCCAACTTTCTTGGACCTTTCCACACTGAGGTCCAACAACCCCCCGGAGTTGTTGCAAGAGCTAAAGCAGTTGCCCTTGGGTCCACAGCTGTGTGCCCTAGCGGCCTAAGTCAATACAGTGGCCCTTGCCTTCAGAGCAGTGTTGTCTAGCAGCCAGAGTCAATACAGCAGCCCTTGCCTTCAGGGCAGTGTGGCTTAGCAGCCAGACTCAATAAGCTGCCCTCAGATACACAGCAGTGCAGCCTACTGGCCGGAATCAGTATAGCAGCCCTCAGAAACAGGGAAATGTGGACTAGTGGCCAATACCCCAGCACCACCACCAGCAGGGTGGCGTGGCCCAGGCAGGAGAGGCTGAGCCCACTCAACTCCACCAGCCCCCAAACCAGGGCCCTACCAGTGGCGGAGTGTTCCTCCACTGAGTCAGTGGGTAATCCCACCGAAACATGTTGAGTTTACATGGTGGAAAATACCATTTGCTCACCCTCCCTGAGTCACTTATTACCACACTTCCTGAAGCTGCAGTCCATGGGGCATCAGGGTCTTTGGGCTCCTCAGCGTGGGTAGTTCCCTGGGGCTCTGTTGGCTACAAATCTCCAGTCCAAATCTCAGGATCTCCAGCTCCCACAGGCTCCTCAACTGGATGGCTCCTCAGCTGGAGCCTTCACCAAAGGTCCTTCCTCTCCAGCAGTCAGCCCAGACTGAGTTGGGCTGCTCCCTTTTATACTAGCATAGCACTTGCTGCATGCCTGGTACTATCTGCAGGGCAGGACTTCCTCCACTCATAGTATGTGGTTAACCCCTTCCAGCCCAGTGTGGAATATGCTCACCCCATCACACACCCTCTCCCTTAAGAGGGATCCCGGCAGGCAATCCTTCCCCCTCTCTCAGCCTTGAGGATATTAGCAAGGTGCTGAAGGTTGTCCTCTCAGTTGCTTCTGTTGATAACAATGTCATGTATACAAACTGCCGCATACCAGTCGTGGGGTTGTAAAACCTTGTTCATTAGCCTCTGGAAGGTGGTAGCTCCTCCATGCAACCCAAATGGCATGGTTATAAACTGGAAGTGGCCATATTGCATAGGAACGTGAGTCTTCTCCCAGAATTTAAGCATCAGGGTTATCTGCCAATACCCTTCGTTAAATCCAGGGTTGAAAGATATTTGGCTCTCCCTAGGTGCTCTAGAAGTTCCTTGATACGTGGCATCAGGTACACATTGAACCAGGAGATGGCATTGACCTTGCGGAAATCAATACAAAATCAGATGGTCCTGCCTGGTTTTGGTACCAAGACGATTGGGTTCCTCCATTCGCTCTGCGATTCTTTGACTACTCCGATCTTGAGCATCGTGTCGAGTTCCTGGAGGGTGGCAGCGCACATCTTCCAGGAGAGAGGCCGGTAGTCATCCGTCACTTTCTACCCCGGAGTTGTTGCAAAGTTGTGGCTTATGAGGTTGGTCCGTCTGG